AATCCAAGTCACGCACAGACTCACAATAGATCTGATTCAATCTCCCAGCACTCGCCTGCTCGTTTAGCGGCTTTATTCGGCTGTAATTCAAACAAAAATGCAGCCGTGGATAATCAGATCACACAGTTTGATGCTTGCTGTCATTTTCTGGGTGTTTTTGTAGACGAGCAGCAAACATCCAGAGCAGTGGAGTGTGTTTGTGGGAGTTTGTCGTTTTGCAGCTGCAGTCAGAAGGCGTGGTGGCGTCTGCAGCCGAGGTGTCCGTCATGCTGTTGCGTCGAGGACTTTGTGTGCTTTTTGGCTCGCGTTCGTTGTGCAGCTGGACTCTGCATGCGGCGCAGACACACAACAACACACACACATGCAAGAAAACAGGAAGAGTCTGTCGCACATCAACGCACACGTTCACACACACACTTTACTGCTTTTGTTCACGTTTACTTAAATACACTTTTAATTCCCAACAGGAGGTGATTTAAGATGAAAAGTGGATGAACACAGAAAGTTTGACTGTGTAGTTTGCGTCGTTCACCACTAGACGGGGATGTGAAGCGTTCACTCAGTGACCACCTGCTGTGTTTGCCATTAACTCTTTGAACTCAGAGCAGTTTTTGGGCGTTTCTCACATTTTTACTCACCGTGGGTTCGTTTTTCACTACAACATAAAGTCCTGCTCCTCTATGGAAACAGAACAACCATGACTAGAAGGAGAGAGAACTCAGGAAGGACTTTTGTGCAGACTAATAAAGCTATAACGTCATAAATCATTAAAAAAAATTTAAAAATCTGTCACATTTCTTTGATTGTTTGCTTTCCAAAAATAAAAACAAACAAACTTGAATGTACAGCAGTTTTCCAAGTACCCACATGGGGATATGCATTTTGATATAATTTTACAATTTCAAGCATAGAGCTGCAAGGTGGATCGGTGGTTAGCACCGTTGCCTCGCAGCTAGGAGACCGGTTCGCGTCCCGGTGAGGACACCCGGCATCTTTCTGTGTGGAGTCTCCCTGTGCAGCGTGCCTTCACCCTGAGTCAGCTGGGATAGACTCCAGCCCCCCATGACCCTAGTGAGGATTAAGTGGTGTATAGATAATGGATGGATGGATGGATTTGGATCCTGATAGGTCTGCAGATGAGTAGTTCAAGGCCTGTCAGAAAGTTGAATATCCAACAATTCTTTCAGCTTGTACGGTATCTGGCTCTGGTAAATGGTGTGATTGTGGTGGTTTCTTTACAGACAACATGGCTTTAGAGGGCTACACATGAAAACGAGTAACACTGCTTTGTCTGTAGTCTTGTAAGACATGTCTAAACAGATTAAAAGATGTTTTCCTCGGTCTGGTTCATGCTGTGCAGAACACTGGCAGTGAACTTTTACTAGGACCTTGAGACTGACCAGGGTCACACCAGCTGCTATCTCTGTGTGTTTGGAGGTCGTACATCCGCTGGCCTGTTTTCTTGCATTTTGAACGGTTTTGGATTCCCTTTCATGAGCTGCTATTAGAAACACAAACTGAATATGTGAGTGTGGATGTGTTTGTATCTCCAGCGTGTCTGTTTGTATTTCCAGTGGAGAGTCACTTCTAATCATTCAGGCTTCATTAACTTTAATAACGATGCAACTGTTGTAAACACATGAAGCCATTTTTTAAACACCTGGAGGTGTCTTCAGTCAGACCATTAGAGCGTATGGTCTGTTGCTGAGAACGCGTTCTGCAAATTAAAGGTTTTCTCATTTTAACAGAAGATAATAAACATCTTGGATATGATTTCCTTCATCCCGAGGCGTCTCTGTTCTTCTGTTTCATCCTGCAGAGTCATATTTCCTGCCCCTCACGGCCACGTTTATTTATGATGTGTTCAGATTAAAGGCTAAGAGGAGGGAAACGGGGGTGAGATGCTGCTCGGTCCTTGAACCAGTGATCTGATAAATACATTACGTGCTGTTCATGCCGGTTTAATTGCTGACACTGTCCTTCGTCTTCCTCCTTAATGTTTTATCTTGGAGGAGATTCTGCTTTATGTTTCTGTGGATGCTGGAAATGATGATGTAAAGCTAACGCCACATCTGTTGCAACAGCACATTCACATGAAAAGCATTAAATACGCACATTCAAACTACAAGCTGCAGCTAGGGATTGTTTTTTGTGTTCACTTACAGCCTTTTATCTCAGTATTGAACTGATTCCTACCATTTTTAGCCTCCTTATTCATTTACATCAAACAAGAAGAATGAAAAAAAAGGAAAGATGGGTAAACAGGTTCTGGATTTAAAAATACAGGAATTAGCCTTTAAATATGTTTCCACCAGGTTTAAGTCAAGATGCCCAGAAAAGACAAGACACACCTGTATATCTGCACATGTATGTGACACCACAGTGTTTCCAGACATGTTTTATTAGTAAATACTGTGGAAAAATACAGTTAATAATCCCATAATTAGTGGTCTCTGGTTCCTAAAACCTCATTATTTCATAATAATGATGCCCTTTACGATGAAGTGAGGTGTGTCTTATAATTAAAGTGATGAAGACGCCGGAAGCAGTGAGCAGCGGTTTGAAACTTGTGGAGCCATTCATGCATCTTTAATTTGTCCTTCCATCAGATATTGACTTCACCCTGACGTCTTGGATGCTCCTCTGCCTCGACTCGTACATTCTGTACACCCTGCTTTCCACCTACAGAAATGTTTCCCTGCCTGGACGAGGCATTGTGCTTCTCTTTAAGGTTATGTTTATGTGTCTCTGGGGGATTAAATGACATAATCTCTGGACCATTTCCATGAGGCTTTGACCTCAGGATGCTGAGATTATCCACCGATGGTTGTGTTTTCAGACAGACTTGACTAACATTAAATATTACCACACAAAGCATGTGTGCGCACGTTTCAAATTGAACCGAACAGATTTCCTGCTTTGTACGATCTGTGATTTCTTCTGCTGCTTTCATTTTGGTTCCAAGAATGCAGAATCTAATTTAAAGCTCTGTGCGTTTATAGGGCTGTTAATGCAGCTTTCATTTGGATTTCAGTTCTTCTCCCCACAGCTCTCAGCGATGTAGATTCGGTTACCCTTTAGATGGCAGTGTGCTCCATTAATTCAGCTCATCCACCACCAGCATGTCCCTATATATAGACACGGCCAATTCCAACTGTAGTGCACATAGTTATCATTACAGAGATTACCTAACAGAGCCAAAAGCATCGTAACTGCGACTACTTGTGCGTATGACTGTGTATGGAGGGACTGCTGAACAGGAATACATGGGCCTCAGGGGGAAAGGTGTGCCCCTGGAACAGAGCATCCATTAGCATTTCTTGTTGGGAAATCAGTTAAACAACAACAAAAAATAGATGCAAATGACTAAACGACTAAAAAGATGTGCATACTGCCTAAAAAAAAACCCAAAAGCGATGCAAAATGACTTCAAAACTATGCAGAACCACGAAAGCAGAGATGCAAAATCACCAGATCGAGCCAAAACGACTACAAAGACATGTAATATGATGCACAAAAGGGCAAAAAATGACAATAAAGAGACACAAAATGACCACAGAGGGCCGTAAAATGACGATAAAGAGATGCAAAACCTTGAAAAACATTTTTAAGTGATGACAAAAACTTGCAAACAATTACAAACAGATGCAAGCAGGAAAAATATATGATATATATATATATGTGTCAAAAATGACTACAAAGAGATGCAAACCTGCTGCAAAGAGCTGCAAAGTGACCTAAAACAGAATGACCAAAGAGACTCAAAGTGACAACAGAGGGACATCAACGGACTATAAAGACACACAAAACCACCACAGAGATGCAACTGACTACAAAAGCACAGAAAATGACTGCAGAGGGACACACACAGCTACAAAGAGACACTAAATGTGGTGCAACATGTGCAAAAGGACCACGCAGAGATGCAAAACAACTACAAAAAGATGCAAATGACCACAATGAGATGAAAAGGAGCTACAAAGGGATATAACAGGACTACAAATAGACACAAAGAGGTACAAAATGACCAAAAGAGATGAAAATGATCAAAAAAATAATGCAGAATGGCAACTAAAAGAAGCAAAATGACCACAGAGAGATGCGAGACAACTGCAAAGAGACATTAAACTTCAAAAAAAATGATGCAATCGGATGCAAAAAAGAAGAAAAGATGCAAAATGATCACAAAGAGATGCTAAATGACTACAAAATGATGCAAAGTTACCACAAAGACATAAAAAAATGACCACACAAAATGCAAAACAAACAAAATAAAGATGGAAGCCACCACAAAGGCTTTACCACATAGAAATGTAAAGTGAATAGAATAGAATAGAATAGAATGCCTTTATTGTCACTATACACAAGTACAATGAGATTAAGAGCAGCTCCTTCAGTGCTATACATAATAAGTACAAAATAAAGAGCAAAAAATGAAAAATAGAGGAGATTTAAGTATAAAAAAATCAGATAAGTTATATATACAGAAAAAAAAAAAAAAAGTAAAGTGACCTGTAAAGGCCTGTTTATTTGACTAATAACTGAGTGGATTTTTTTTTTTTTAAATCAATACAATAATATAGAATTACAAGAAGAAGAAAAAAAAGAAAAAAAAAAAAGGATTAACCAGAGAGAAGTAATGAATGCTAACTTTTGAAGGCCACAGCTGGACTCCAGCTACAAGCTTCGGTGATGTAAGCTAACAGAAATTAGCCGTTAATTATAATTTAAGCAGTTTAAAAAAAAATAAATAATAGCTTTGGTGAATTAGTTTAGTCGAAAACAATGTCATGACTCTCTCCAGCCTGGCCGGGGCTAATGGGTTCAACCGTCACCGAGCCTCGCCCTCCATGTGGGGGCGCTCCGGCTCCATTTTCCACACAAGCTAACCGGCTAGCTTAGCTCGTCCCCGCCGGCTCGTGAAATTCCTGTGGCGGAGCTTCCTGGCGTGGCCGGTAGAGAGGGATGGAAGACAGCAGCCACCGCAGGAAGAGCCGAGAAACCTGAGCACCGGAGGCAGAGAGAGAGAGAGAGAGGCGAGAGAGAGGCAGACTGACACACACACACACAGCCACAAGAACCGCAAAGCCCTCGGATAGAAGACGGCCATTACGGCTGCTGGAAGCATGCTGGGAGCTGGGGAGGCTCGATCCGCAAGACGCCGACACAGCCGGGGGTAGGCGCTCGGAGCTCGGACGGAAAACAGACACCGGAGCCGCTCTCATCTGCGGTGATCTACTCCCACCCTCACGTAGACACACGTACGAGGGGGTACATAAAGCAGCAGTCGCCGGCTGGAAGAGGATATCCGAGGAGGGGGACTGTTGGGAGACAAGACACCGAGCGATGCGGCTGTGTGTCCCCGCACACACCCGGACGGAGAGCATGGATAGATAGCGTTTATGTAACCTGCATTTATCTTCAACGTCCTACATTTTCACTTGAGGCTTTTGTTGTCTTTTTTTTTTTTATTCTCCTAAGTATCCCTGAGGATTATACACTGCTCGGAAGTGAGCTGTACTTGTGCGCCAATGCATCATATTTCGTAGTTTTTCTCACACTCGGTGGGTGTTGAATTGTGGACGCCGGAGGGGGGATAAGACGGAGCTGCGGACCGGGTCACTGCGGTACAATCTGCAGGCAGAACCCCCTCCACGGAACCACCATGGCTGGGTTCATACCGGGGCTGCTGCCGACCAACCACAACCAGGAGAAGGAGTTTGCACAGGCGTACGAGGATGTGCTGGAGAGATATAAAGGTAACAGAAACAACCTTTAATGTTCTGCAGGATGACAGAACCACAGACCCTGCTGCAGAACATCACATCCTTCTGATGATTTATGCAGATTTTATGCACATAAATACACAGTGAAGGTTGACTTATCACAGCCAGCACCACATAAACAGTCCACTTTCTCCTGAACATTGAGACTCTTCATATCTCCCTCAGGGAACATCACAAGAATGCTGAGATGAAAGGAAAAGCCCAAACTTCACATTCTGAAAGTTGATCTGTGGGCAGGCGGCCCAGTTTCATAATCTGGATTGTTTCATTGTTGATATGTTGGATAAACACAGCAGGGCTCCCGGCTCTGCCACATTGTTGGCCTCCATCAGTTTTGTGGACCGGCTTGTTGCAAATTGCACGCCCTGCCTCTCTTGTAATCGCCTGTGTTGCTTTTGAGACACCAGAGGAAGCAGTTTTATGAAGTTCGCCCCCCTCCTGCCCGCCAGGAATTTTCTCCCCACATGGCCTCATGTTTCGCCTTGTGTTTGCTGTTTGTCCTGTAAATATCAAAGCTGCTGCTCTGTCTGCAAGTCAGTGGAAAGGTGGCCTCTGATGGGGTTTGAAAACAGCAAACTGTCTTATTGGGCAGATCCCTGTCTGTGACAGCGTCTGCTATTGTTACCCCCTGCAGCAGTGGCCTTACCACCGGCACTGAGACCTGCTATTTTATAATCCCAGTGACAGGGTCGCTTTAAAAATGAATGCCTCTACTGGAACTGACTGGGAGGGGGGGTGGAGAGCAGGAGGATGGGGGTGCTGACAGCTCAGTAGACTTAGGTCACATCTGTGGTGCTGGCACTGATGAAAAGGAGGCAGTTTTTAATTATTGATTATTATAATGAAACTAAACTCCTTGGGGTTTGGGACTTGGCGTCTGTGCGTTGCAGTCAAACAGAGAGAAAATGTGGAGGAGTTTCGTATTAGCCGGTCTTCTCCAACATCTTTACAACAAACCTGTCTTACCACAGAAAAAGAGATCTGCTGGGAGGCGGTTTCACTCACTGTTTGCAGCATCTGCCATGGCAACACTGTTGTGGTTTGCAGCTCTTGGAACAAGCTGTCTCGTGAAGGAAAGTGCAAACATGCAGACTTATATTATGGAACATATCTGAGCCATAATATGCAGGTTTCTGTCTGTATGTGTGTCTTTTTGTTCCATAAAATAATCATTTTGCTGCAGCTGGTGGTTAATTTCAATCATATCAGGATTAACATAGGAGAGAATTGTGTTGAATGAACTTTTCAGTCCTGTCCTTTTGATACTTCTAACTTTCTGGCACTCTCGTTTATTGTTTCACGCAATAAAAGCCACTCAAGCTCGTTAAAACAGATGCTATTAGACCCAGGTTTGTATTTAGTTGATACACCAGGATTTAACGGGGAGTTTAATGCTAACACAAATAGTCAGGATGTTAAACTTCCTCAGGAGTCAGGAGTGTTGAATCTCTTGCTTTCTCACTCATAAAGCACTGAACATCCAAAGTAAGTTCATGTCATGCAGGCAGAGCTTCAGTCCATTTGTCAGTCTGCAGCGAACGATTGCTCTCCATTAAAGCAGCTTGTTGTCGATTGCAGTCAGTGTTGAGTTTTGTCTGCAAACAGGATGGGTTTAGCTTGATAAATAAGTAAGTAAGGCGTTAGAGATGCTGCTTCCCATGAAAGAGGTGATTAAAGGAAGGCAACATAAGTATATTGATTGAAGCAGAACTGGACATTGGCCTCTTGGGCCTTTTCACCTTTTTAGAAATGTCAATGCATAACAGCCTGAAAGTCCCAAACACATCGTACGTCAGGATAGTTCAACTCTGGTACAGTTGACAATCACACACTCACTCCTTTATTTGGCAGGTGTGATCAATATATCGGCAACTCTGGGATGCAGAGTGGTGCTGCAATGATTAATCAATTGTCAGCTATTCTGTATATTGATTACCTGGTCTGAGTAAGAGTTCTTTTGATTCCAGCTTGTACATTTTTCTGTTTTCTTTCCTCCTGAATGACAGTAAACAGATCAATTAATCCCAAAAATAATTAGCGGTGACTGGATCCCATGATGTTTCATTAGAACCTCCACACTCGGTCCATGAATGACAGGATCTCTGTAGCTCTGCTCTCTGTTTACATTCAGAAATTTGTATTTTTAAGTTGCTTCACAAACCATTCGTGCATTTTGTTTGAAATTAGCCAAGCAACCTTGAATGATTTTAACTTTTTGTAATCTCCAGTGACTCTACCTTTTCATTTTTAGTGCTGCTGCATATTATTTCTGCAGCCATAGATTAATTGGAAAAAGAAGGAAATCAAACTCTCTGTAATTTTATTTTTGTGTGGCTTGATAGATGAATATTAAGGCTGGTTAAGTGACTCACAATTAGCCTTTGTGGGGTGACTTTGCACGTCAATAAGCGTGATCGGTCTGTGCTCAGTAAAGGTCATGAGTCTGTGTTGATGTATTTGACAGAAATCTGCATTTTCCTCTTATTTCCAACCATCAAGAAGCAAAAATGTCTGTTGTGCTTGTGTAAATGAAACATCAAGAAACGAAACTGCTTAACAAAAAAAACCCAGAATTTATCTAACTGCTTAGTTTGCACATCTCATTGATTGTGCCTCCTGCATAAGTTGTATTGGACAGTGATGAGTTTGTAAGCAGGTCAGGTTCTCGTACATTTCTTACAGTGTGGATCCGTTACAGTTTGTCCGGCAGGTATGGAAATTGTTATTGACACAATCGGACGACTTTTCACCCCAAGCGCTCTCGTGAAACCAGGATATCCTCGGATCGACGTGTGTTTTTAGATCTTGTAGAGCTGCAGGTTCTGGACTTGTACCTCTTGGTTCTGTCAGACATCTCCTTTTGTCAGCGCTGTAACGAGGCTGTAACTCTATCGGCTCCGTCCCGTGTCCTCTGGAGTCAGTCCATCACAATAGCACTTGTGCAGCTGCGTGTCTCCGTCAAGTCATGTTGTATTCTTTGAAGTAACGCAGCGTGTCTACCGTCCTGACTGATATCAAGTTTGCTTCTGTCATTCCTTCATTCACTTTGACATATATTGTTCTTTCTGGTTCTGATTGCTGGGCTGGTAGTGCAGTAAAATCTAAAGCTGTATTGGAGTCAAGAACAATCGTGACCATTATTAGCAGGCTGCTGTAAACTTTAACGGTGAAAATTATCCAAGAAATTTCCACACAGCAGTTCACAAAACACCGTTTAGAGCTGTGACTTGATTTAGGCAGCCCAGAATAATATTGATACGTCTACTCTCAGGCCCTGACATAGCCATTTTTACATCCCCCCACTTTTTTTACTTCAAGGTAAATTATTTTCCTTTGTTTTCTAAAATATATTTAATAAACTACAGTTCGTAGCACACTGCTGCCTTTGAATAAATGTTTCTAATCCATAAAAACATCACTTTCCTTATCTTTTATCCTCTGCTACATGCAAAACAGAGTTGGCGGACGTCAATACTGAACCGCAAAGATTGAAAACACATTGTTTACGCATTTTAAACAAACAAAATGTTATTTACAGGCAACTGCAGTTAATGTTGATTACAGTGACGACTGTATATGAACACAGTATATTATTGGAAAGTCTAGTTACAGTATTAAACAGTAAATCTCACATTTTAATGCAAAGTACTTTTCAATCATACAGTAGCTTTAAGTAAATTACAACCAGAACACTGTAAAAATCAAGTCAAAGTTTCCAGTATTTTGCTGTAATTTTACAGGTAAATCTATTCCAGTGTGATATTAATGTCCTGCTGACCCTCTACAACACTGTACACAAGTTTACACGACTCTGTCAGCTGTGTGTGAGTCACTTGTGGCAGTTGTCAGAAAGAATAGGCTCAGAAATGGGGACTTGGTGTCCTGCTGGAGGCATCGCTTCACTGAAACTGGAGGTGGACACTCGATCCGGTTTAAATCATTCACGAGGCAGGTGGGGTGTTTGTGTGCGCTCGTGCTCATGTGTGTAACTGCTGTGTCACAATGGCAGGATATGTACAACGGCGATCGGGTCAATTATGGAAAAATACTGGAACCCGACTCAGAAAACACTGTGAGTCAGTGGAAAAGCAGATGGTTTCAGGCAGATTGACAGCAACATTTGAACATTATGTTTACTCGAGCAGCTCCGTAATTATGATGTAGGAAGCAGCGGCGTGTGTGTTTCTGCTCCTCTGCTTATTTCTTTAATAATCCTAATTAGACAAGTATAATAACGTAAGCTTAAGAGCAGCTTAAAGGCTCCATATTCATTAACACATGGCAGGTACGGTGCCACGAAAATCCACTCAGAGCCAAATATAAGCCAGGAAACACGCAAGGAAACAGAACAATTGGACAGTTTAGAGGAACAAGAAAGTCAGGAAGCCCACAGCCAAGAATTTATATTTAGAAACTAGAAAATGTGTGTGTTTGAGAGACTAAATTTAAGTAACCTTTGCATTATAAGGCATGTTATCTTTACAAATATTGCCAATGCTACACCATTTATCAGCAACCGTAACGATAACAACTGAAAGGATCGTGGAAAGAATATGTGGAGTCCATGTTTTTCCAATTTATTCCAAGAACTAGCTTAGTTTTTTCTAACAATGGGCGTGTTCACACAGAGAAAGAAAGTATGGAAAAGGTCTGAAGTATCTGAGCAATAAAACAAATGCAGCAAGTTGTCATTGAGTTGTTGGAAGACACATTGAGCATGGTGAAATATCTTCCTTGAGTTCATGTGCTTAGTCGTGGGAAAACGTTTGTAGAGGTTGTAAAAAAAATGCAACTAGTAAAACATCTGTGGTATGTAGAGTTCCTATTTCTTTCTTGTCTTGTAACACCTGTGGACAAAATGTTGTGCCGGTTGGTTCTTGTTTTTTTCCATTTTTGCATAATACTTAATCAAAGACACTTCTTGTTTAATGAATCACAGCGTTATAGCATTGTTATGTTGCACAAAGCCATTT